TTTCAATATCGACTATTTAAATAAAAAATTTCCTAAAAGAATTAAAAAAAAAATTTTTTTTTGATTATTTAAATAATCAATTTTTCACTGGAATTCAATTCTTCAAAACACAATTTGCATAATATAATTTTCCAAAAAAAATCAATTATTAAAAAACATTTTTATAAAATTCTTAACAAGAATTCAATTATTTTTAAAAATTTTAATAAAATTTGTTGCAAAAATTCAATTATTTTCATGAATTGAATAGAACTATTCCTAAGAATTCAATTATTTTCATAAATCATAAAATATTTCTTCGGAATACAAATTATTTCAATGAATAAAAAATTTTTTTCAAAGAATACAATTGTTATTTTTAAATTTATTAATGAAAAATTCTTTACAAAAATATCATTTAATTTCATAAATTTAATAGAATTATTTCCAAGAATTAAATTATTTTCATAAATAATGATCAACCGATTTCATTTTTCGATGGCTTGTTTAAAAGATCATTTAATTGCGCAACTTTTTCCCAGAGACACCTATACTTTATCTTTTATTGTTTAGTTGCTGTGTTATTTCTAAAAAATTTTGCAAACGGTCCGGTTTGCCCCACCCCCTGGGGTAAACCGGACCGTTTGGTTTTTTATTTATAATATTGCATTGACATAATCTACAATAATAAAAAACATAAAGAATCATGTAAACAATGGTTGTAGTAATGAAAATAATAATACGGGATTGAATTTTAATTAAATAAATATTTTTTTTAATAAAAAAATAAAAATGTTTGTCATTATCAGAGAAACAATATTAAAGGGTCCAATTCTCATTGGAAGACAATTATTTTTCATTGTAAGTAAATATTTTAATGAAAAAAACATTCTAATTAATAATAATTTTTATGAAACTAATTCAATGGAAATATCCTATGGCCGGTTTGCCCCACCGAAAACGGTCCGGTTTGCCCCACAGGCCCATTTCAAGAATAAATGTTTGTCAAAAAGAAACGCTTTGCAAATTCATCAAAGTTTTTGGTGGTAAATATTCCTGAGGTGTGTACCTTCAAAACCTAAGACCTAATATTTAGAAACATTACACGATTTCCTCAAAATTTCCTTAAACGCAAGCTAAAACTGTCAGATTGAAAAAATACGGTATATACTAAACATGGTTGTTTTAAATTTGTAAACAACACTTTTGACAATTTCGCCATTTCGGAAATATTGAGAGGGGTCCGGTTTGCCCCACTCTCCCCTACGTATAGAACTTTCTAAAAAGAATTGATTTAAAATTGAATTTTGGTTAAAATTTTAGATAATAATATTGAATATTAGAAGCGTTATAGTGTAAATTTATAGAAATAATTAATTTAAAAAAAAAATGTTTAAATTAAAATCTTTGAAAATTTCAATTATTGTAAAACTATCTAATATTTAAATTTTTATTTTGAAATAAAATTATTAGAGTTTTGAATAATTTTATTTAAGAATGTCCACAAGAAGCATTGAACTTTGGATGAATTATATAGTTGTAATTTTTAATAATAGTTAAATTAGTTAAATTTCAAAAAGGCTTTAACAGTGAATAAATATTTATTCAATTATTAATACAAATATTTATTTAAATAAAATTATTCTATTATTGAATGTAATTTAATTTTAAAATTATGAAAAAATCGAGTCGATAAAATTGATTTTTCTCTTTTTCTACATATTTAAAATTTACATTTTCATTTATTATTAAATGAAAATTTGTGCGCTGAACCGCTCGGAAATTAAAATTTAGGACCAATGTTCCATGTAATTAAATCAAGTAGCGAAAGTAGTGAATTATTGAATTTATTTTCTGTAACACGAGTTCAAATTTGTCGTCTCTCACTCGGCTGAAATTAAATTAAATCATTTCTGACAAGTTTGATAAACTTTATGAAGCTGTCTATTGTACTTAATTTTAACATTCCCTATAATTAAAATAATAATGATTATTTTTGTTATTAGCAGTAATAATAATAATAATAATAATAATAATAATATTATTATTATTATTATTATTATTATTGTTATTATTAATATTAATTTTATTTTTTATTATCATTAATAATATTGTTGTAATATTGTTGTTATTAATATTTGTAAAATTAAATATTTATTCTATTATTATTTATTTAATTATTTTTATTGTTTATTTATTTAGTTCGTATATACGAGCAAAAGAAAATAATTATTGATGAAATTTAAAATCAAATTTTTTAGTCCAAAGTATCATTTGTTATTTAAAGAGTAGTAGATTAATTTTATTTTTAATTATAATCTAGTCCATTTGTGAAATAAATTAAATTCAATAATGTAAAAGTAAAAAAGGGAAAATTGTTAATTTAATTAAGAATATTTTTTTTTGTAATTAGGGTAATAATTTGATTCAATTGTTAACCTAGAGAAATTTTCTATTCTTTCTTTGATTTGACCCCTCGATTTATATTATGTCGTCTTGGACATAATTCTTGATTGAACTGTGTATTATACGTAGAAGTCATTATGAGTTCAATGTAGCCAGGTGTGGCTTACAAGGGGAAACACTCCCTTCGCTCTTTCACCTTTAATATACGAACGTGCCTTGAAAATAAAGACTAACACCGTAAACCTAAAGTTCGAAAATCCCTTTTCAAACTTTGGTCTTTTTTTCTGCACAATCTACAATATTATATTTCCACTTTATTAATTTCCTTTTTCATGAATTTCATTTTCTACTTTCTCGCTAGAATTTTTTATTTTTATTTCTTTTACTATTTATAGTTTTTAAATTTATTTATTCCTATTGTTTTGTTTTGGATTTCTATGTAAAATTTGTAAATTTTACATGCGATGAAAAATTAATACATTTATTATTATTATGAAAATTGCAAAATTTTTTTACTTTTAAATATCAAATTCAATTTTTGAATAATTTCAGATTCGAAATTAAAAAAAAATACTAAGTAACTATTTAACTAATTATTATTATAAATAAAAATAAATAAATGAATTTATTATTATTATTATTTTCAATATTGTTTTCAAAAATTTAAATAAAATTCTTCGAAACAATTTAATTATTTTTAAAAATCTTAATAAAAATCCTTTAAAAGAATTCAATTATTTACGAAAATTTTGATAAAAATTGAATTTTTGTAATTAAATAATTGAAATAGAATCATTTTTTTGAGAATTATTAAAAACTAGCAAATGATACGCGCGCCAGCACGCGGAACACGGTATTCCATTTATTATTATTTTGTAAATTAAAAAATTTTATATTTTCAAAAATAAACATCAATATTTAAATGATTACGGATTCAAAATTTAAAAAATTCACTTATTAACTACATAATTAAATATTCTTGTTTATTATTTTCAAAAATGTTAATAAAATTTTTCGCAAAAATTTTATTATTCTCATAAATAATATTTTTTAGAGCAATTCAATTATTTTTAATTCAATTTTAATAAAAATTCTTCGAAACAATTCAATTATTTTTAAAACTATTATTTAAATTCAATTTTTTTCAAAAATTTTAATATAAATTCAATTATTTTCGACAATTTTGATGAAATTCTTTTTAAAAAATCATTATTTTTAAAAATTAAGATAAAATTCTTCGAAACAATTCAATTATTTTTATGAATTGTAAAATCCTCCGCAAGAATTTAATTATTTTCATAAATAAGAAAATTCTTCGCAAGATTAAAATATTTTCATAAATAATAAAATGTTTCGGAGAAATTCAATTATTTTCAATACATTTTTAAGAAAATTTTTCGAAAGAATACAATTATTTTAAAAAATATTATTTAAATTCAATTATTTTCAACAATTCTGATAAAATTCTTCGAAACAATTCTTATTGTTTTTATAAATTTTAGAATTCTTGACAAGAATATTCAATTATTATTATAAATAATAAAATTCTTCTGAGAAATTAAATTATTTTCAATATCTACTATGTATTTTAATAAAAAATTTCCCAAAAGTATTCAAATTATTAAAAAAAAATTTTTTTATTCTCTGGAAGCATTCAATTATTTTCACGAATAATAAAATTTTTACTGGAATTCAATTATTCAAAACACAGTTTGCATATAATTTTCCAAAAAAATCAATTATTTAAAAAAAGTTTTATAAAATTCTTCACAAGAATTCAATTATTTAAAAAAAATGTAATAAAGTTCTTCGCAAGTATTCAATTTATTTTAAAAAAAATTTAATTATTTTTAAAAATTTTAATAAAATTCGTTGCAAAAATTCAATATATCAATTATTTTGATTTATAATAGAACTTGTCTCAGGATATCATTTATTTTTAATGCAATTTTAAATTAATTCCTCGAAAAGTGAAATTATTCTTAAAATATTTTTAATAAAACTCTTCGAAAGAATTCAATTATTTAAAGAAAAATTTGATTTGTTTATTAGAATTTAATAATTATTTTCAATACATTTTTATTGAAATTTCTTAGCATAAATCTGTTTTTTATTTTCACTGTAAAAAAATAATTGTTAAATTATGACAATTGGTATTAGTTTAAAGTCAATTTTTGGTACTAAATCTAAGAAAATTTTGGAAATAATTGAATTTTAAAAGGTTTCTTCGCAGGAATTGAATTATTTTCATAATTAAAAAAAAATTCTTCAAAACAATTCAATTATTTAAAAAAATTTTATAATAAAAATCTTGTCAATTAATTTTCATAAATTGTGATAAAATTATGATTTTCAATTCAAAACAATTTTGTTGAATTCGTTTTTTTATTATTTTAGTTTTATTTTATTATTTATTTATTTTTTATTCATTTTAAAATTCAAAAGATTAAAAAAGAAAAGTTATCATTGAAATTAGGAAACAATAGAGCAAAAAAACAACTAACTGTAAAGTGCAAAATTGGTGATCCGGAATACAACGATTATTAATTTAAATTATTATTTATTTATTTGTTTTTGTTGACTGATCTATATAATTATTATTTTTCTATTTTCAGATAACTGGCATCGTACTCATTTCATTTGGAGCTGTCATTTTGGTCGTTTACAATGACTACAGCAACTTTGTAGATAGCTGGTTATTTGCAGCGCCAGTTTTAATGATTATTGTCGGCGTGATAGTCTTCCTTGTATCGTTCTTCGGATGCTGTGGAGCAGTGAAAGAAAATCACTGCATGATCATTACGGTTTGTAGTTTTCATTTGAAAGTCAGAGAGGCGTGAAAAGGGCGAGAACGAAGAAACATCTCATTTCAATTATTTTACAAAATTATTTATTCTATTCGAAATTCAGGCCTCGAATATTATAACTTTTTCTACTTCTTTCGACTATTTTCAAAAAATGCGGCATTTTCCTGAATTGTTTTGGTGATTCTTCATGAAGTCATAACTTTTGCCTACGGTAACGTTTTTTAAAAAAAATTAATTTTTTCGCCTTTTCATTCAAATATTGTAACAAAATACTACATTTTTAGTATAAAATGCAACTAATTTCGAATTTAATAGTTGACTACAGACAAATCTTTCAAACTTATTTTTCAATAATCTTTTTAATTAAATTTTATTAAAATGTTTGAAAATCAACTTTTAATAAATTTTTAAAATAATTTAATTCTTAAAAGATTTTAATAAAAAATCTTGAAGTGTAAATTTAAAAATGAAAATTAATGAAATTTAGCTTCTAAAAATTAAATTAAAATATTTTTAAAAAAGTAATTTTTAGAATTTTTACATTATAATTTTTTATAATTCAATTATTTTTAATATTTTCAAAAATTAAAATAAACAGTAACGAACTAAAATTTTTTAGAAATTTTAATGTTTTGGAAAAAAACAATCAAGTTTAAAATTTTTAATTAAAATTCTTCAAATAATCAATTAATTATTTGAAGAATTTTCAATTACTTGACATATAAAAAATTGTGAAAAATTTTTTATATTACGTTATACAACTCTTCAAAATCTCAATTTTATTTTTAATTAAAGAATTGAAATTATAAAAAATTTGTAATTTTAATTAAAAAAATTTACTTGAGATTTTGTTAAAAAATCGTGATGAAGAAATAAAAATTATGCAATTTTTTTTATTTACCACTAAAGAAAAAATAGAAAATATTTTGCTTATATTCGGTTTCTCAAGCACAATGTTCTAAAAAAAATTATAAGTTTTTTTTTGGAAAAAGACGTGAAAATTTTGCATAATTCCTATTTCTAATTACAATTTTTTAACAAAATTACAATTTCTTTAACAAGTAAAGGAAACTTAAGAATCACGTTTCTTTACAAAATTTCAAGTTTCTTTTGAATTAAAAGAAAAAAAAATTCCATATTATTTTATTTTCAAATATTAAATTCAATTTTTGAATAATTTCAGACTCAAATTTAAAAAAAATTGACTTAATGACTACTAACTGACAAATTATTTTCAAAAATCTTAATTAAATTCCTAGCAAGAATTTAATTATTTTCATAAATTTAATAGAATTCTTCGCAAGAATTCAATTAATTTTATAAATAATAAAATTCCTCAAAACATTTCAGTTATTTTCATAAATAATAAAATTCTTCGAAACATTTCCATTATTTTTATAAATTATAAAATCCTTCGAAATATTTTAATTATTTTACAAAACAAAATAAATTTATTTTTAAGAATTTAAATATTTTCAATACAATTCAATTATTTTAAAAAATCTTAATAAAATTCTGCCCAATAATTCAAATATTTTCAATACAATTCAATTATTTTAAAAAATCTTAATAAAATTCTGCCCAATAATTCAATTATTTTAAATACAATTCAATTATTATTAGAAACAATAAAATTATTCGCGGAAAATTAATTATTTTTAATGCAATTCAATTATTTTCAAAAATTTTTATAAAATTCTTCGAAACAATTCCATTTTTTCTAAAAATCGTAATAAAATTCAAATATTATTTATATTTTCAATTACAATTTCAATTATAATTTCAATTCAATAACAATTACAATATAATCAATTCAATTTAATTCAATATTCAAATATTTTCAAATATTGTTGAAAATTCAAATACATACAAAAAATAACATTAAAATTTTTTAAAAAATTGCAATTATTTTTTTATATTTTTAAAAAATTTAATTATTTTTAAAAGATTTTACCAAATTTTAATTTTTTGAAAAATTTTCAATTGTACATAATTGAAAAACTATTATCTTTAAAAAATTATTAAAAAATATATTTAAAAAATTAATTTGAAAAATTTCTCTATTATAATTTTTTGGATAATATTATACGTTAATAACTTTAACAGTAACAATTATTATAAAAACTTGAATTTCCATATTTAAAGAATTGAATATTCGAAGAACTTTCAGAAAATTATTAAAAATAATTGATTTAGAGATGACGTTTAGTTAAAAATTTGTATAAAATAATTGAATTTTGAAAGGATTATAATAGCAATTTCTAGAAACTATTAAATTTCAGAAGGTTTTAAATTGAGATTTTTAAAATTTTATTTCCCACGGAAAAACAAATAAGTATTTAAATATTTATTTAAGAAAATTATTCAAGTTTTGAATAATTGAATTTAGAAATCAGTGAAAGGGAAAAATCAGGGAAATACAAAATAAATTTTTTAAATAGAGTTTCTTTCCGACAGGTTCGACTGTAAATCGACTTTTTTTGCCCCTTAAAGTGGATCCGAGGCCTGAAAATTGTATTAACAGTTAAATATTTCATAGAATTATTTTTAAAAATTTTCCCTTCAATTTTCATTGAATTCAAGTTTTGTAAAATTCAGTTTTGAAAAAAATTGTGATTCACAAGTTTTTAACGTTCAAATGAACGTAATATTTTTTATTAACAATATTTTGATAAATTACCAATTGTCATAAAAGTTGAAACTTAAATTTTACATTTAGAAATTTTATAATTAATTCTTCTTTATTATTAAATCAAATTATTGGAATAAAAATTTATTTTTAAGAAGAAATAAATTAATTTCGTTCATTTGAATGTTCAGAACTTTAGGATCATAAAAAATTGAGAAAATAGCCAATAATGTTAAATTATTATATTAAATTTTTGACTAGAAAATTTAGTTGAAAAAATGAATGAATTTTTTCCTCCCCTCTTGCAGTTCTCAGTTTTATTGCTGTTGATATTTGCTCTGGAATTGGGTGCCGGAATTTCTGGATACATAATGCGTGGAGAAGTAGGCACCATGCTGGAAAATCACATGAGCAGAACAATGCCACAATATTCTCAAGTCGACATTGGAAAGTCGTGGGATATTATGCAACATGACGTAAGTTTTGCCTGCTCCTTTATTGCATTTCTTAATTTCAAAATAGAAATAGAAATTCGCAATTGTTTTTTTCAAAATGATCAATTTTTCAAATCTGATGCTTTTTAAAACTTTTTTTCCATTTCATTTCAATATTTCTAGAAAATTTAGGTATTTTATTTCTTCCTCATTTATTTTACTCTATTTATTTTTTTAAAAGGTATTTTTTATTTTCCTACTGAGTATTTTCTACAAAATCTTTTCTATTTTTCAATACTTTCTCTAAAAAATATTTTCTATTTTTTAATATTTTCTACAAAATCTTTTCTATTTTTCAATGTTTTATTGAAAAAATATTTTCTATTTTCTAATATTTTCTATTTTCTAGTATTTTCTATTTTTTAATATTTTCTACAAAATCTTTTCTATCTTTCAATATTTTTTCTACAAAATCTTTTCTATCTTTCAATATTTTTTCGAAAAAATATTTTCTATTTTCTAATATTTTCTATTTTTCAATATTTTCTATTTTCTAGTATTTTCTATTTTTTAATATTTTCTCTAGAAAATATTTTCTATTTTTAAATATTTTCTACAATATATTTTCTATTTTTTAATATTTTCTACAAAATCTTTTCTCTTTTCCAATATTTTCTCTAAAAGTATTTTCTATTTTCTAATATTTTCGCTAAAAAATAATTTTTACAAAATATTTACTATTTTTTAATATTTTCTATTTTTTAGTACCTATTTTCTACAAAATCTTTTCTGTTTTTCAATATTTTTTCGAAAAAATATTTTCTATTTTCTAATATTTTCTATTTTTTAATATTTTCTACAAAATATTTTATATTTTTTAAATATTTTCTACAAAACATTTTATATTTTTTAATATTTTCTAATATTTTCGTTAAAACATATTTTCTACAAATTCCTTTTTATTTTTCAATATTTTCAAAAATATTTTCTACAAAATCTTTTCTATTTTTCAATATTTTCTCGAAGGAATATTTTCTATTTTTTAATATTTTCTACAAAATCTTTTCTATTTTTCAATGTTTTATTGAAAAAATATTTTCTATTTTCTAATATTTTCTATTTTCTAGTATTTTCTATTTTTTAATATTTTCTACAAAATCTTTTCTATCTTTCAATATTTTTTCGAAAAAATATTTTCTATTTTCTAGTATTTTCTATTTTTTAATATTTTCTCTAGAAAATATTTTCTATTTTTAAATATTTTCTACAATATATTTTCTATTTTTTTTTTCCAAATTTTTTCTCTTTTCCAATATTTTCTCTAAAAGTATTTTCTATTTTCTAATATTTTCGCTAAAAAATAATTTTTACAAAATATTTATTATTTTTTAATATTTTCTATTTTTTAGTACCTATTTTCTACAAAATCTTTTCTGTTTTTCAATATTTTTTCGAAAAAATATTTTCTATTTTCTAATATTTTCTATTTTTTAATATTTTCTACAAAATATTTTATATTTTTTAAATATTTTTTACAAAACATTTTATATTTTTTAATATTTTCTAATATTTTCGTTAAAACATATTTTCTACAAATTCCTTTTTATTTTTCAATATTTTCAAAAATATTATCTACAAAATCTTTTCTATTTTTCAATATTTTCTCGAAGGAATATTTTCTATTTTTTTAATATTTTCTACAAAATATTTTCTATTTTTTAATGTTTTTTACAGAATCTTTTCTATTTTTCAATATTTTCTTAAAAATTTTTTTTTTTGTTTTTCTAATATTTTCGCTAAAAAGTATTTTCTATTTTTTAATATTTTTTACAAAATCTTTTCTATTTTTTAATATTTTCGCTAAAAAATATTTTTTCCATTTTTGAATATTTTCTCCTCAAAATATAATTTTTTATTCTTCTAAAAAATAAGAGAAAAATGCAATTTAATTAAATATATAGAGTTACGGATAAATTCGAATTATTGCGGGTAATGGAAATTTATAACGTACTCTCGATACTATCGATTTTTTTCACAATACTCTACCCTCAATCTCAGAGATAATTAATAATTTACTTTGCACAATTTTTTTTTCTATCCACTATAAGCAATTTCGGTTTCAATTTAGTATAAATTTGATTGACAACTGAATAATTAAAAATATAAGTAAAGCTATAATAAAAACTTTTTTTTTCTTTTTTTTTAATTAAACGAAGAATATTTTTAGGAGCAAAGGTAAAATATTTATTTATATGTATAAACGTAGAAGTGAAATGAATAAATAAATAATTGCACTTATGAAAAAGAAGTTTGCGTTAAGGAGGACCTGTGATATTAATCAATATCTTTACCTCACCTGAGCTATACACACAAGTGCACTTACAAACTCCACTTCCTGTAGCCATCTGTACGTGCATTGAATATAGAATTTCTAAGAACTTGGTCTTGGTGTTATGAAAATGAAGGTTTTATAATCGATTTACATTTTATTTTAATATTTTTCCTTTGGACTTATGTATTATTATTTTCTGTCTAAGAGTCTTGACATATTTACATAGTGACTTATTTTATTACCAATTCTTTTTTGCGAAAATTTTTATAGTAATATTAATATTGATTATTGCGATCACTACGATTCAGGTAGAGAAGAAACTTCAAAATAATTATTTACCTTATTTTTCAAAAAATTTTCTAATTGAATTTTCGAATTATACAATGAAAAAGATTTTTGAATAATTGAAATTTTTATTTTTAATATTTTGGAGAAAACAATCATGTTTGGAATTTTTTATTAAAATTCTTCAAAAAATTAATTTGTTTTTCTTAAATTGATTGACAAATCAAAAACTGAATTTTCCCATTATGTTATAAAAGTCTTCAAATTCTGAATTTTATTTTCAATTAAAAAATTGAAATTATGTATACAAAATTTATTCGCATGAATTCAATTATTTTCATAAATTTAATAGAATTCGTCGCAAGGATTCAATTATTTTCATAAAAAATAAAATTCTTCGAAACATTTCAATTATTTTTCAAAAAAAAGTAATAAATATATTATCAAAAATTCAATTATTTTCATAAATTTAATAGAATTCATAGCGAAAGTTCAATTAATTTTATAAATAATAAAATTCCTAGAAACATTTCAATTATTTTCAAAAATAATCAAACTCTTCGAAACAATTAAATTATTTGCGAGAAATTGAATATTTTCAATGCAATTCAATTATTTTTAAAAATCTAGTAATTTTTTTTCGTTAGAATTCAATTAGTTTCATAAATAATAAAATTCTTAGCAGAAATTTAATTATTTTTAAACATTTTAATACTAATTTTCTAAAGGAATTCAATTATTTTAAGAGATAATAAAATTCTTCGAAAAATTTCAATTATTCTTTGGATGAAAAGGAAAAAAATTGCGATAATTTCTATTTGTTAATCACGATTTTTAAGGAAATTATATTTTTTTAATAAATGAAAAAATTGAGAATTTTGCATTATTTCTATTTTATAATCACAACTAGCAAAACTACACTCGCGCAAGCGCCCGTGAAATTTTCGTTGCCCTTGTTACTTTAAAAGATTTGCTTTTTAAAGTTTAATGAAAATTCTTCATTTAAAAAAAAAAATAATTTTTCTAACAGTTTTTCTTTAAATTTAATTATTTGAACAACTGGTTTAGAAATCGCCAAGATATTTTAACAGCAACTTGAATGTAAGATATTTTTGATTAAATAATTGAACTTTCCAGTGGTAGTAAGTTTCTTCTAAATTTTTTTAAAATCCAATTATTTTCCAAATTCTCAATTAGAATTCTTCAAAAATACGTTTACATTTCAAAATAATTTTTAATACTAAACAAATAAAATTCATTAAAATATTAAATTTATTTCAATAGAATTTAACAAAATTTTCAATTGTTTCAATTTTTAAAAATTTTTTTCGGAAATACAATTATTTTTAAAAAATTTAATTACATTTTTCAAAAAAGAAATTTTCTCGGAATTTCTAAATTAAATTATTCAAAACTTCAATAGTTTTTGTTAAACAAAAAATTAAAAACTTATTCTTATTCATTTTTCGACAGGAATTAATATTTCAAATAATTTCAATGAAAAACCTCATGAAATTCAATTATTTCTAAAAATTGCAATTGCAATTCTTCCAAAATTCAATTATTTTTTTAGAAGTTTTAAACGAAATTTATTATTGAAAAACTTTAAGAACGATCCGGAATTAAAATTAAAATTAAATTAAAGGACTATAGTGTAACTTAAGAAAAATAATTTATTTAATAATTTTTTAAAATACTGATTTAATTATTTTTAAAATATAAATAAAAAAATATAAAATTTTACAAAATTTCCAATTATTTCAATTTTTTAAAATTATTTTCGGGTATTTTATTTACAAATTAACTGTCAATCTTTTGGTATGAAAAATTGTTTTTTTTTTGGAAAAAATATTTAAAATACTTTCCACGATAAAGAATTTTGTTTAAATTTTGAATAATATTATAAAAATGCTGAAAATGTGTTTTCTTTTCTGTAAAATCTATCTTATAAGAATTGAATTAAAATTGCAAAAAGAAGAATAGTCTAGACTGTGAAATTATGCAAAGTGGATGCATGGAGATGAAACGGATAAACATGAAACGCGTACAGTGCACAGGACTATAGTGTAATTACTAAAGGATTGTATGTATAGTTCTCATGAAAATGTCCATATGCCTTCCGCATGTTTTTTCAGTTGTCAGTTTCGTATTTTAATTCCGGATCGTATCCAAGACTAGAAATATCTCACAAGCGATAAATTTTCCCTTTTTCAAAACTCATTTTTCAGTAATTTTTCATTCAATTTTAAAATGGCAAAACTTTTCCCTCATTTGGTAATTGACTTGTGGAGTATATTTGTTATTTTATTATTTTGCTTAATTCTTTTTTTTTTGTTATTTACTATTTATTATTTGGGTTGTCAAACCATTTTACTTCGCCTAATGTATATTTGGTCTTTTCAAAAAACTTTATTTTTACATGTTTTGCGATGACAAAACACACGATAATTAAAAAAAATATTTTTCTTTTAAAAAAACAATTTTTTAATTTAAAAATTTTTATTTTTAAAATTTAGCAATAAAAAATTAACAAAAGATTTTAAACTGAAATTTAAAAAAAAATTATTTATTTTAACCCAGTTTTTATAATTTTGTTAACCTATATTTATGAAAAGTTATTTCAATTATTATTATCTCTATGAGGAAGTAAAGTATTCATTTCATGAACGCAAAGAGAATTACAAAAATATACAACTTGACAGCGGTTTCTTTTTTAATTGTTTGAATTGCCCTTGTATTTTGAAATTATAATTTGGATTTAATTGAATCTGACATAATTAAATTATAATTGATGTTAATTGGAATTATTGTATTTTAGCTCGACTGCTGTGGCATGAATGGCCCTTCCGATTGGGCCAAGGCTGGATTCCAAGACAATACTTTGCCACTAACTTGCTGCCATAATGTTCCATTGAAGACAAACACAACTCATCAAAGCACGTGCGATATGAATTCGCTGACTGTTCGTGAGAAAGGATGTTTCAATAAATTTCGATCATTCATCGAAGATAGAGCCGTTGTCTTGGGAGGCGTTGGCATTGGAATCGCTTTGGTTCAGGTATTTTACAATTTTGCCAATTTGTATTTTTTTTCTTTAAAAATAATTACGTACTTTTACTAATTATTTAGAAAATTAATTTTTTTTAATTTATTGATAGAATTTATTTGAACAGGGTTGCCACAGGTCAGGGAAATGTTAGGAAATTTTATCAGTACTATAGAAAAATATCAAATTTCAAGAATTAATACAAAAAAAATCATAAGGTACTTTTGGTGTAAAAAACATTTTTGAAATACTCATTCAATTCTCCTTGATTTTTTTTCAATTTGAAAGCTTTTAAAAATTTGAAAAAAATATGTTTCGGAGGAATTTTAATTCAATTTTTTAATGATAGGTACTTTAATTAATTACAAAACTTTATTAAAGATCTAGCAAATGTTACGCGCGCTAAACTTGGTTTTCAATTTATTATTAGGCAAATTACAAATTTATTTCTAAACAACAAATTTCAAAGTTTAGATTTTTAATTTAAAAAAATCCACTTATTAACTAATTAATTTTTTTCAAAAATTTTACTAAAATTCATCGCAGAAATTCAATTATTTTCAAAAATTTTAATAAAGTTCTTTATAAAAATTAAATTCAACATAATTATAATGAGATTTTTTAAAAGATTTCAATTATTAGCCTGAATACTAAAATTCTTGTCAAAATTCAATTATTTTTAAAATTTTAATAAAACTCGGAAGAATTTAATTTACTTCAAAACCAAAGAATAAAATTCTTCGCCAAAATTCAATTATTTTCATAAATAATAAAATTTTTCTCACAAATTCTATTATTTTCAAAAATATTAATAATCTTAGGAAGAATTCAATTATTTAAAAGAATTCTATAATTCATGACAAGAATTTAATTACCTTTATAAATAACAAGATTCTTCGCAGAAATTCAATTATATTCGAAAATTTTACTAAAATCCTTGTCAGAATTCAATTATTTTAAAAAATTCTAAAAATCTTGTCAAAAATTTAATTAATTTTATAAATAACAAGATTATTTGCAAAAATTCAATTACTTTTAAAACTTTTAATAAAATCCTTAACAAGAATTCAATTATCTCTATAAATAATAAAATTCTTCGCAGAAATTCAATTATTTTAAAATTTTTTACTAAAATTCGCAAGAATGCAATTTATTACAAAGACTTTTGAAAAAATTCTTCGCAAATATTAAAATAATTTTTTAAGTAATAAAATTCTTCTCAGGAATTCAATTATTTTTAAAAGAATAAAATTTTTCTTAGAAAATGAATTATTTTAAAAAATTTCAGTAAAATTTGATTCAAAAATTCAATTAGTTTTCTTGATAATAAAATTTTCATAAGAATTAAATTATTTAAAACACAACATAAAATTTGTGAAAAAAATCAATTATTTAAAAAGAATTTTATAAAATTCTTCACAAGAATTAAATTACTAAAAAAAAATTAATAAAGTTCTTCGTTATAACCTTAATATTTTATTAATTAAGTTACCTTCAGAAGAATCCAAAATTGTTGGGAGCCAGTCCGATCGCTGGACAATAAAAAAAAAATAAACAAAAGACTAAATAATAATAAAATAAATAAAAAAAAGTAAATTCTTTATTAATTTGAGACTAGGACCACTGAATTAATTTAATATTTGAATCATACTCAAGAATGAAAATAATTTTGACAAAATCTCACCAAAAGTTGAAAATCAATGACAGATTCAGCAAATCTCCAGGAAATTAATAATTAATTCCAAAATCTGCAATTATGGCTCCAATTCACAAATTCACAAAAAGTTATAATAAATCACTAATAGTAAATATTCAAGTTAAATGAAATTAAATCAAAATTGACTTTGCAAATTAAATTTACGTCCGTCTCATATAATTTCACAAAAAGAATTAAAGTGAATTAAAGTTAATAGATTGTTTATTATTCTCCCTGGAGATCTTTTGCTAACAAAAAAATTGAAAATCGAATTATTTAAAAATTATAACAATGAATCGTAAACAATTGATAAATTAATTTTGAAGACATTAATAAAAAAAATTAAAGTAAATTAAAGTAAAGAATATTTGTAAATTGTAAATTTTTACAAGATTACATCGTAAGGATTCAATTATTTTTATAAATAAAAGATTCTTTCAGAAATTAAATTACTTTAAAAAGTTTTAGTAAAATTCTTTACAAGAATTCGATTATCTTAATAAATAATAAAATTCTTCGCAGAAATTCAATTATTTTCAAAAATTTTACTAAAATTCTTCGCAGAAATTCAATTATTTTCAAAATTTTAATTAAATTCTTCTCAGAAATTCAATTATTATTATTATTTATTATTATTATTTTTTTTACTAAATTATTATAAATTTTACTAAATTACTATTATTTTTCCTAAAATTCTTGTCATAATTCAATTACTTGCATAAATAATAACATTCTTCAAAGAAATTAAATTATTTTCAATATACTTCAATTATTTTAAAACATTTAGCAAATTTTTTTTTTGCAAGAATTCAATTAGTTTTATGAATATTAAAATTTTTCCTAGAAATTCAATTATTTCCAATACAATTCAATTTTGGCACGAATTTAATTATTTCTAAACATATTTACAAAATTCTTGCCAGGAATTCAATTATTTTCAGAGATAATAACAAAAATTGAATTACTTTCAACAGTTCAATTATTTTCAAAAATTTAAATAAAATTCTTCCCAAGAAGTAAATTATTTTCATAAATAATAACATTTTTGTCAGGAATTCAATTATATTCGTTACAATTTCAATCAAAATTCACGTGGGAATTAAATTATTTTTGGAAGTTAATAAAAGTTAATAAAAGTCCTTCGAAAGAATTTAATTATTTTAATAAATATTATTCAAAACGTCGAGTTCTCAACTTCTCGAAGTTTCAAAACTAAAATTCATTTAAAATTATTGAATTTTTCTTAACATGTATTTGAAAATATTTAAAATTTTCAAGGATTCGAGTAAAAATAATTGGATTTTTTAATTATTTTTCTGAAATTTAAAAAATAATTTTGTAGTGAAGTTTGCGAAAGTTAAACTATTTTTATTTTTAAAATAAGTAGACACTGTCTTAAACTTTAAAATTAAATTTTTGCTTCTAAAAATTATTATTTTTATAATTGAAATCCTTTTTTATTAATAATTTTATTATTATTATTAATTATTTATTTTTTGTTTTTATTTTATTATTATTTTATTATTACTAATTTATTTTATTAACTTTGTATAGGAAGGAGGGAAATAGCTAAAAATTCAGTCTGGAAATCAGAGAAAACAAAATTAAATTTCTGTGGCAACCTTGTTCGAAACTTTGTTTTTTTTTGAAAAAATGTTTTTGAAAAAAATTTATATTTTTTTCTAAATTAATTCATTGAGAATTTTTTAAATAGAATTTACCAGAATAATTGTTAAATATTTCAGCTAATTGGAGTAACATTTGCGTGCTGTTTGGCTCGTTCGATTCGTCGTGAATACGAGACAGTGTAAGATGATTAAAAAAACAACACTTTTTCATTGCAATACGCCTCACGTGCACTTTTCTTATATATTATATATATAAAAAAAAATCAATCTTACGATGTCTATTCCACTACTGTAAATGTTGCGTTACTTGTTTAACTCTCGAACCGATTTGCACAATCACAAAATATTTTCTTTTCTTTTGCTCAATCTGCCAACATGATGAATTCTTTTAAAAAAAAGAAAAAAAAGGTGATTTTTTCACACCTAGTAAATATAAAAAAAAACAAAATATTGGCAGAAGAAAACTGGCTTGGGTTTTTTAAAATTAAATTGCTAACCGCAACGAAAGCATGTAAAAGAAGGTTTTTCTTTTTCTTTTCGCAACAAAAATTTTAACAGAAAATTCGTCGATTTAAAAATTTTTTTTTTATATTCCCTAAGTTTTTCTCAATATGATAATAAGTGTCAATTGCTTACAAAATAGTTCATTGTGCAGCTTATTCGTGTCGCTATTATAATCGCCTACAATTGAGAAATTTTTTTTTTCTTGGAAAAAAAACCAGTATTTTGTGAATTTTTTTTGCAAATTCTCTTTTTTATACATATTTAATATGTATATTGTAGTCGCCATTGTAGCTTTTTGTCACCCGACACTCTTTCAAACGAAAGTAATAGACTCTAAGTATATTGTTGATATTTCATTTTGCATAATATTATTTTATTATTTTTCTAATTGGTTTATTTTTTGTTTATTCACTATAAGTCTAGTATTTTATTTTAGGTCCTTAATTTTTATATTTATTCTCAAGTTACTCAAATTATTGACTTTATTTATTATTCACGAATTTTTTCAAAGTATTTTATTTAAGAAGTTTAACGTTTGTTTATAATTATTAATTAATCATATTCCTTTTTTCTCGAAGAATTTTTTTACTCTATTTTTGCACTTTAAAGAGAATTACGTTAAGTTTCAATTTCCAATGTTTAAGTAGATTTTTCGTATATATAAGAGAATTTTTTGTAAGTATTTAAAGAACTTTTTGCATTTAAAAAGTAATTGTTCGTTAAAAAGAGTAATTATTAATTACGAAAATTAATTATTACCAGCAAAACTTAATTATTACTTACAAAAATTAATTAATAATTGAAAAAATAAATTATTAAAGTTAATTATATCGAAAATTAAACATTAAAGTTAATTATATTGAAAATTAATTATCAAAAAAATTCGAATATCTAGAAAGTTTTTCGATTCATTTAAAAATTTCCGTTTATTTTCTCTCGAATTTAATCTTTTTGTCGAATTTTATTTTTTATCGAATTTTATTTTCTCCTGAATTTTAAATCCCCCCCCCCCCGAATTATTAATTCGATCCTCAATTAAAACTGATTAATTAACCGAAGAATTTTCAGTTAATCTCAAATAATTGTCATTTGGAAATTAATAATTTCACACACAAGGTGGAAGCAAAAAAAAAAAAAATTCTGGTGGAATTTTCTTTAATCTTTGTAAATTGTAATAACGTAAGTTTAAGTTTTATATACTGATAAAAACGAAAAATAACATAGAAAAATGTAAACTGATCGCCGTAAAGCATGTACGAGGGGATTTTTTCTATAAAATAATAAAAAAAAAACGTAGCATTTTTGCACTCCCAAGAAATAAAAGCGTATCGAATTATTTCACACAGCTCGCACCGCAGAAACGCAAAAAGCTACGCACAATTTTGCAATTAATATAATTTCTCTCCTTTTTTGTAATTTTGGTTTTTAAAACAAGACTCTCGGATATGATAATTATGTTATTTTTTACACGACTTTACTTTTGATAAATGATACGCTTTTGTTTCTTTGTCAGGCAATGCGCTGCACCTAACTCTTATAAATAACGATTTCGATATATATAGTTGAAACGTAACTAATTCGTATAATATATATAAATATATATATATATGATTCGTAATAAACAAAAAGAGGCTGTGATCGAGAGTCCTGTGTCCTTAAAGCATGCAAATCCAAAGCTTAATGATTGCAAATTTTAATATTCAGAAAATTCGGTGTTTTTGTGGTAGAAATTTTGTTGATATTGGAAATATTCATTTAACTTCAATTTTTTTCTTCTATTTATTGTTTTTTTTTCTTTGGTATATTAAATTTTTTATTTTATTAACAACATTTTTCTCTGATTGGTAATTTTTGAAAAGAGAGTAAATAAAATAATTTATTTATAAAAATAAATAAATAGAAAAAGTGAAGTGAAATAAAATAATTATTAATATAATAATAATTTTTTTATAAATATTTTATTTATTTTCTTTCGAATTTTCTTTTCTTTTCTATCGAATTCTATTATTTTTAGTTTTTTTCTGTCAAATCTCATTTTCTCTCGAAGTTTTATTTTTATTTTCTGTCGAATTTTATTTTCTTTTTCCCTCAAATTTCCATTTATTTTTTGGCAAATTTAATATTTTCCCAAATTTTGATTTATTTTCTGTCAAATTTCATTTTCTTTCGAATTTTATTTTACTTTCTGTCAAATTTCATTTTCTTTCGATTTTTTTTTTAATTTCTGACGAAATTTAATTTCCTCTCAAATTTTATTTTATTTTCTGTCGAATTTCATTTTTATTTTCCGACAAAATGTAATTTTCTTTCAAATTTTTATTTATTTTCTGTCAAATTTAATTTTCTCTGGAATTTAATTTTCTGTCAAATTTCATTTTTTCTCAAATTCTAATTTTGTTTCAAATTTCATTTTATTTTTTGTAGAATTTTTTTTCCCACGAAATTTAATTTTCCCTCAAATTTCGATTTATTTTCTGTCAAATTTAATTTCCCTAAATTTTTATTTTATTTTCTTTCGATTTTACTTTCTTTTCCCTCAAATTTAGATTTCTTTTCTGTCAAATTTCATTTTATCTCGAATTTTTTTTTATATTCTGACGAAATTTAATTTTCTCTCAAAATATTATTTTATCGAATTTTATTTTTTCTCGAAGTTTTTTTTCATTTTCCGCCGAAATTTAATTTTTTCTCAAATTTTATTTTATTTTCTTTCGAATTTAATTTTATTTTTTCTCGAATTTTTTTTATTTTCTCCCTAAATTTTATTTTCTCTCGATTTTTATTTTATTTTCAACCAAAAATTTATAAAATTTATAATCTACAATAATATTTATTATTTCGTAACAAACACGAGCGTCAAGAAGAACGTCAATAAATTTTAGAAAAAAATAGAAAATTATAAATCAGTAATTAATAATTATTAATTACTAATTATTAATGATTAATTAAGAGAAAGTGTTGAATATTTAATTAATAAAACGAGTTAATAAAATAATTTTAAAAATTGACATAATTAATAAAAGAAATAAGAAATAAAACACTTTTCCGAAAATTGAAAATTTGCAATTATCTGAGAAATTCCATAGCAAAAAAAAAACTAACGTCCAGAACCGTTCCTAAATAATTTTCTTTGATTCTCGTCACTGTTCTTGTAATTTATGAAAAAAAAAATAACGTAAGGTCTATAGTTTAGTTTAAAAAAAAAATTTATATTATATGAGAAAGTATTCTGTTGTTTTCTACATTTGTAAAGTCTACGTAGTGTTATATCCATAGAGTCAAAGTCTAAAAGAGCACGAGTGTTATTTTCTATAATTTTTTCTTTTTTTTAATCAGCGATAGTACAATCCAAAAATTTTTTTTTTATATTGTCGAAAGATATTCTTTTTTTTATTCTTGCTTCTTATTGACTGCCTTTGCATTTGGTGGCAGATCAGAAATATTTTTGTACTCTGTTACTGTTATTCACGAGAATTTATAATTTTTATTATTATTTTCGATTAAATTGTTTATATGTATGCGAAAAAATGTTCATTTAATTGCTGATAAGATTATTTTGTACTATTTTTCTTTTGACCATTTTTTTGTACTTTTATTTTGAACTAATTTTGCATTTTTTTTTTTTTTTTTGACTACTTTTTATTTTATTTTTTTTTTTTAGACTTTTTTCGTACTTTTTTCTATTATTTTTTTAACTAATTTTTTGTACTTTTATTTTGAACTATTTTTGCATTATTACTTTTTTTTACTATTTTTTTTGTATAATTTTCTTAAACTATTTTTTGTAACTTTTTTGGACTTTCTTCGTACTTTTTCTATTATTTTTTTTTATTTTTTGTACTTTTATTTTGAACTATTTTTGCATTGGTTTTTTACTACATTTTTTAATGATTTTTTTGGACTATTTTTTTGAACTTTTTTCGTACTTTTTTCTATTATTTATTAGACTATTTTTTTGTATCATTATTTCTTGAACTATTTTTTTTTTACTATTTTTTTGCCTATTGTACGTTTACTGCTTCTCTCAGTATGTATATTGCACTTACGTATAATGCATTCTATCGTAAAAAAAAATATTTTTTGAAAAATATTCATGCTTGGTGACATAACATTTTTACTTACAGCGAAACCACAGCACACTGATCAGCCACCACTTAGGAGGCATATTAACATAATATTGTCCATCATACATTTAGATATTCATCGCGTTTCTAGATTTTTCAACGTGCTTACGAATTTTAAAAGAAAAAAAGGACAAAATAAAGGAATGATGCTCAAATTTCACAAAAGAAAATTTCTTCATTTTCAATTAACTCGAATCTATTTTGCGTTAATTGTAAATTTTACAAAAAAAAAAAAAAACAAATGGAAAAATTGCAAACATATGTTCGACGAATCGAAGAAAATAATTACTAAAGTCAATAATAATCAAATTAAGGGCGTTTTACTATTTTCGGTTAAAAAAAAAATATTTTATAAATAGCAAGACATTTTTTTCGCGTTACAATTTTAAATTGTAATTTTTTTTTTATAAGTAATATTAATTATTTACATTTAAATATTAATTGAATATCAAATTTTATAAAGTAAGGACTAAATAATAATTAAACTGTGTAACTAAAAATAATATTAAATTAATAACAGGGTAAAATTTTACTAATTTTTTATTTTAATAAAAAATTTGTTTGCAAATTACTTTTTTTTCTCGAAAATATTCAAAATAATCAAAAAGAATTTTCTTGCTTTTATAAATTGGATTTTTTTCTTTGTTAAATGTCGAGCGTCCTTTAAAAGTAAAACTGCCAGGTTATGCCAAAAAGCAAAGACTGAAAATTTTTACTGTTTTACCTTTGAAATCATTTACAAAAAAAAACAAATGCTTTTCGCAAGTTGAGTAGAATTAGGAAAACTTAATTGCAAAATAAAATTAGAAAATGAATTTCTTCGCTACAAAAACAAATGATAATAATTAGTTTTAAATAATTCGAATAAAAATAAAAGAAATGAACTTTGAAAATTGTGAGAATTGAAATTTTTTAAATTAAGAATTGAAAAAGTTAATTCTTTAAAATTAAGAATTGAAAAATTCAATTCTTTGAAATTAAAAATTGAAAAAAGTCAATTCTTTGAAATTATGAATTGAAAAGTTAATTCTTTGAAATTAAAAATTGCAAATATTAAATTTTGATAACTTAAAATTAAAAGAAATAAATTTTTCAAACTAAAAATTGAAATGAAATTGAATTTTTGAGATTAAAAATTGAAAATATTGAATTTTTGACTTTAAAATTGAAAAAATATGATTATTTCAATTTAAATCTTGAAAAAGTCCAATCACTGCAACTAAAAATTGATTTTTTGTAATTGAAGTTTGAAAGAATTGAATTTTTCAAATTTAAAATTGAAAAAGTGTAATATTTCAAATTTAAAAAATGCAAAAATTGAATTTATTAAATTTAAAATTGTAAATATTCAATTTTTGAAATCTAAAATTTTAAAAATTGAATTTTTGATATTAAAAATTGAAAAAGTCGACTAATTGCAATAAAAAATTGACTTTTTGAATTTGAAATTTAAAGAATTGAATTTTTTACATTAAAAATTGAAAAAGTCGACTAATTGCAATAAAAGATTGACTTTTTGAATTTGAAATTGAAAGAATTGAATTTTTGACATTAAAAATTAACATAATATGATTATTTCAATTCAAATATTAAAAAGTCCAATAATTGCAACTAAAAATTGGTTTTTTGTTATTAAAATTTAAAAGAATTGAATTTTTGAATCTAAACGTTGAAAGAATTGATTTTCTCAAAATTAAAAACCGATAAAGTTAAATCTTTCATTTAAAAATTGAAAGAATTGAATTTCGTTTTATAAAAAAATGGAAAAGTAGAATTTTTCAATTTAAAAATTCGAAATATGAACCAAAAATTAATGAATTGAAGAAAAATAGATTTAAAATTAAAAGCTAGTTAAATATTAAAATTCGAAGAAATAATTGCAATTTGAATCAAGTAAAAAACGTGATTTGATCATCGTTCCTTTTTTGTTCCGACTTCTCATTTGGTAAATAAAAAACAATATGCAGTTTCTTTATTTCCAATTATTATTTTACAAATTTTTTTTTCAATTTTTTTTTCTTTTTTGTTTAAATTCTTTTAATGAACTTTTCTTCAAGTAGAAAATGTATATTAATAAAAAATGTATGCTGACTATAGTCGCAGCAAACAAGCTTGAGTTTCTAAAAATAACTGCGCCTGATCGACGGAGTATAAAATGGCTTGTTGCTTCTCTAACTCTAATGTTCTAGTTTTAAATGATAAACAACAAAAAAAAAAAAAAAATTCTATAGCAACCCATAAAAAAATGCCTTTTTACTGGCATAATTCACTTTTCTGACAATTTATGCAGTGTCATAGTCAAAGTATGTGTGTAAACAGATTTTTGTGAGATTTCTTATATATTATATATATTATATATATTTCATAAAGAAAGAAAAAACGCATTTGTATTTTATTCACAATCGACATTGCGACTCCGATCTTCTTTTTTTTTCTCTATATATAAAAATATATTTATTATTGTATTGATTCGATTAGAAAATCGAGAAAATAATGGTCGAAACGAACAAACTGGAGAAAAAAAAATAAATATTGTTGAATCTCTACGCAAAGTACAAAGTACAAAATTTATCGAATTTTCTTTTTTAGGGAATTTTTCAATTTAGCAAAATTTGGACAAATTTGATTTTGACAAACTTTACAAATTTCACGCAATTCGTGAATTAAAATCGCTAAATTTTTGCATAATTGTAAAATGTTTTAATAATTTTTATAATATTACTATAATATTATTTATAATAATAATATTTAATTATTGTAAATTATTATAAATATTAAATAATGACATAAATTTAATTTGTGAAATAATTAATAATAATTAACTAATAAATTATTAATAGTAATTAATTAGAAAATTAATTAATAGTATTTATAATATAATTTTATAATTATAAAATGTTATGAAACATTCGTGAAAAAAAAAAAAATTATAATTTTTTTTTGTTACGAAAAGCAAAAACTATTTATAATTATAAATTTTAGTCAAATTTGAATAATTCTCGATAAAAATGAAAATGTAAAAAATGCTAAATTGAAAAATTCGGTATTTTTCACGATTAGAAGTTGTCGAAAAATATTTTTTTTTCACTGCTAAATGTAAATAGCAAGTAGAAAAGATTTTTCTTTGTAATTGGAGTCTCGACTTGGAAAATATTATTTAGTTTAGAATTCTTGAGTGAAAAATCAACTTTTTATACTATTTTTCTTTCAAATTGTCTTGATATTTGTATCGAAAAAATTTTCTTAAAAAAATACGACACTGAATTTTTTGAATCGAAATTATTATTATTATTATTTTTTTTTTTTGTGAATTTGAAAGAGGGATTGGGGGACCAAGAAAATCGATATTCTATAAAGAATACAATTTTTTATGTATATTGATTATTAACTACTACTGTATTGATATTATTATTTTTATTAGAGTTATAATCGAGGCGTAAAAAAAAATTAGTGAATAATTATTATAATAATAATATAATATAAATAAATATAAATAATTAAATATTTTAATGATCGTTTTATGTCGAATATGCGTTACGAAAATACAACGTTTTCGTTAAGTAGATTTAAAGAGAAATGCTTTTGTCTTTTTTGTAATATTTCACGCAGAAATTAGATGTAGAAAAAATACTATATTAAATATATTATCAATTGTTCTTTTTGTTATCAACGAAAAAGAAAAAAATTCGTTGCTTCAACGAAAAAAATTTTTAAAGCGTTAAATGAATAACTTCTACTGTAAATTTAATTGCGACAAAATTTTATTTTTTATATGAAATTCGAATTTTTTTTGAAATATTTTTTAATGAGGAAATTGAATTCAATTCATTTTTTCAAATAATTTTCGAAATTAAAAATTGAAAACATTTATTTAAATTGAAAAATTGAATTTTTAATTAAAATTAAAAAAATTAAATTTAATAAATTTCAAATTACAAAAATTGAATTTTTGAAATTAAAAATTGCAAATATTGAATTTTTAAATTAAACATTGAAAGATAATTGAATGTTTGAAATTAAAAATTGTTTTTCTAATTGAAAATGTTAAATATTTGTAACTAAAAATTGCTTTTTTGAATTTGAAATTGAAAATCAAAATAATTGAATTTTTGAAATTCCAAATTGCAAAAAAAAATTGATTTTTTTAATTTTTGATATTAAAAATTGAAAAAATATTATTTCACTTTAAAAATTGAAAAAAGTCGAATATTTGCAAATAAAAATTGATTTTTTGAATTTGAAATTGGAAAAAATTTTTTTGCATTCAAAATTTTAAGAATTGAATTTTTGACATTAAAAATTGAAAAAATACCATTATTTCAATGTAAAAAGTCCGATTTTTGGAACAAAAAATTGATTTTTTGATTTAAAATTGAATTTAATATTTTAATTAATTTTTGAAATTAAATTTAATTAAAAATGAAAATTAGAAAAAAGTGATTAAAAAGTCGTTGATTTGAACGTTGGAAATTTAAGAAAACGTTAAAAAAATGTAGACGAAAATTGTGATTTTTCAAAAAATGAAATTAGACTGAAAGATTTTTAATTATTTTAAGTATTTGCCCTTAAAAGTATTTTTTTAATATGTATTTTCAAATCTAATTTTTTATACACTGTCTGTGAAAACACTAAATCCTTGACAAAAGAGAAAAAAAATGAAAAAATATTCATCAACGTGAAAGGATTACAGTTTGTGAAAGGAAATTATTTATTGTAATAGTTCTACAAATGTACTTTTTATGAAATAAGTATTTATAAGTGCTGTAACTTTTGAGACGCAATGTCGATTTGGAAATTTATGCGTAAAAAGTTCAGTTCGTACGAAAAATATTTAAAGAAAAAAAAACTCTGCTCGAGGACTTGCAACAATTTTTTTTTCTTTTACTAAAAATACCCGAAGACTTAGTCTAGGAAAAATATTCTTTGAAAAACAATTTTAGATATAAAAAACGAAAAATTGCTAAAAAAGGTTGAAAAATTTTAAACTTGAAATTTGCTTGTTGCAAATTCGCGAGTGGAAAAAAAACTGTCGATTATAAAAATAAAAAAAAAACACATGTGGTTTTTTAAATAATAAAACCTACAGCTAATGAATATTTGGAGTGTGCCTAACGCATAGTAAAGTATATAGATTATAACGAACATAGAATAGAAAGAAAAAACGAAAACAAAAAGTTTAAACCAAGTACGATTCAGATGTCTTGCA